GATAAATATGAAAGAATTATTCTAGGCAGGAATTTCATCGCGGAATCAGTGAACTCTCTTAGAGTGATACATTTGAATGTGACTTGTTGTCCACGTGCTTTCAATTGGTCAGTTTGTGATTGGGCAGTTGCACGCAAGCCTTCAGTTAATTGATGATGAATCAACTTCCAGTATCCGTCTTTCACGCAACAGCGTATCATTCGATCAAAGGAAAACGAGGACTTGTGATCGGTTCATTAACGCCATGGGTTGAGAAGTTCTGTCTTCGAAATGGAGCTAAGAAGGTTACAATCGCTTTCCAAAAATATTTCCAACGAGTATTGTTTGCATTTGATGATGACTAGAATTTGTTCAACTGAACGAAAAGCGTTCAGAATGAAATCTGACCAGTCCATGATAAGACCAGTTGTTGCGGTGCATGTTTGGTTTGTTATGCTCTGAAAAATCACGATTTTGGGTATTTGAATCGAGAACTTTTCTTTTTTTCCATCTTTCCAGATAACGTTGAAACATTTCCATTTTTCCAGATAACAACAACGGAGTATAGAAAAATTAATTCTACACATCCGCAAATCGACTACATTCATCCGTTTGAAATGGCAAAGTCATGGGAAAAGTAAACTTCAAATGCTCTTCTCTCCAGTTTAATCGCCTTCGCTATCAACAAACCGCGTCTAATGAGCTGAGATTTATGTTCCACTCCCAGGGCTGCTTTATNGTTTAGCATTTTTCTTCAGGGCACAGCTCTATGCAGTACGAGAAAATAAACTTTTGTTTTGGCTGAATTTTGTCTGAGCTTATTGATTCAACATGATGCGAATTAACAGCGCTTTTATTTAATTAACCAAAGCCATTAAATATAATCGATGGCCACAAACAAGTGGCAATAAGGAGATGTTCACATCGCGTTGGACCGCATTTATGCTTTGACTTGAGCTCAGACTCTTAACAAAGAATCATCTACCATATGATATGTAAACGCTAACTCCGTACGATAGAATCGTTTATTTTTGTAAGACAGGCCTCGACACTGCACTGAGTCTTATTCTAACATAAACATAAGTCTAAATTTAATCTACCGCACGATTACGATCTCTAGTTATCATCAATTTTCAAGAGGTTGAAGCTACCGAAGAAGAATGCAATAGGAGTTCTTTTCAGGTTTCAAGGAGTATACGATTTCGTCGTGTCATATTCAAGTATTGAACACAGTGGTCTTGGGCGTTTTGGTGATCCATTAGGTTGGTGAACATCGTATCGGAACGAACAGTTCATCAGGATTTTTCCCATAAGGAACTGTATTTCGAAAATCTTTTCGCAGCAAACAATAACAGCAAAAAATCTTTTTGAATTCGAAGATCACAAACTAAAGAGCTCAATGTATCAGTTTACGACATATTTACGACACTAGTATGGAGTATGATGGAGTATGATTTCAGCGAATGGAAATGTTGTTGAATGAATCTCTCTTTAATTGACTCAAACTCTCTACTTATGGATTGTATTTCAACAAAAACGGTTTTCAGATCCAATCGGTGATCTGCGAGAGATGAGAAAAATTCAGTGCTTACTTAAGAAGGGTGGTTTACTCTTCTTTGGAGTTCCATGCGGAACCGATACACTTGTATTTAATGCACATCGCATCTACGGTCGCATAAGACTACCAATGATGTTCGAAGGTTATCATCCACTTTATTCGTTCGACTTCATTACAGAACATTTTTTTTNTTTTTTTTCATTTCTTCAACAGTCTACTGCTCTTTAACAGTCTACTGTCCTTCACGTTGGATGAAACTGCACAGAAAGCAAAAGTCATCAGCTAAGAACCAGTCTTGAGATCACCATTACCAACTATGCATTAATTTATGATCTGGAAATTAGAAAACTCGCCCATTCAACTCATGGTTTGGACTTCTGATAATTTTCCTATCATGCAAGCTTTCAGTTCACTTCTTCCAACTGCTTGTTTCAAGTTAACTTTAATTCAATCTGATTTAAGGATTCAACTTCCTGAATATGTTCAAAGGTAACACCGAATCACCCGCGCAAATAACTGATGATATCTTTAATACGACAGCTGGGACCGAAACCATACAGCCAACATTTGTTTTGGAACGTCGATAGGATTGGCGAGCACTCCATTGCTTAGTTGCATTCACGTTTCAGTTTTGCGAGGATGATTATCGAATCGTTTGAAGTGTTCTTCGAAATCTGTGATATCATTTCGTTTTAAATGGCCTTTCATTTTCCAATTGAATCTTCGCAAACGTAATTAGTATTTTTTACAAATACATACATAACGACAACTATGTAATGAGCCATCACATAACTATTCAATGTCAGCCCACAACTTTCTCTCATAAGATTCAGTTCCAAAATGCGATTCTGTCACTTGCAGACAAATAAGACCGAACTTATAATTTCGTTTTATCAATTTCTCATGAGGAACGTAGTTCTCTTCAATTACCATAATTCCATTGATAACACCTTAAATTCCATTTTGTTTCAAACTCTTTGAAACTTTTGCACCAAACTCTTTGAATTATTTGTGTTTTTTTTGTGGCGTTGCTTGAATATGCCTCGTTCTTTTGTGCCATTATGCGTCGTTTTATTTGCGCCATACGAATCTTGCCATTTCTTTG